TTCAACTTCCCGTTGGAGCTTACCCTCAGATTGGATGTTCAAGAGGGGCACATGCAGGCCCGCAGTCTCGACATACTTTGATCTGGATCTGTAGATTGCGAAGGCTTTCTCGGTCCAATACCAGGCGCGTTGGAACGAGATTATCTGTTGACTGGCCTGATTGCATCGAGTTAGAAATCTCTTTAACGGACCAACCTACGTAAGCAAGGTAGCAAGCTGCGGACTAAAAACCGACACTGCAAAACTATACATCCCCTTCTCCTAGTTTCTAAAAAGGGGTTATTACATATAGAAAAGTTGTATTCGAATCTCCGTTAGCCCAAGAGTCGGATACAGTCCAGCACTCCCGAAGAAATGAAGTGCTGACGGCTTAGTGTTGCCTGCTTCGAATGAGGGTATAGAGGGCATTCACAAGGTTTGGGCAGGGAATCCCCAATTTGCAACCCCGGTTTTTATTTTTATTTTTGTTTTATCCGCAGCGTGGGTGGTAAATGACAAAAACGTAGGGAGTAAGAGTGACAGAGCTTTACATACCACATAACCAATGGATTTGGAAAATATGTCCATCACTTCCGGTTGGCTGTCCTGTATATCCACATACGTCAGCAAAGTAACCTGGCAGATTTGAAATATAATTTTGCACACACCTCAGTCTTTGTCCGGTCGAAGAATGTGTTGGTACACTCATCGAGAACGACCAGCGCTATATCATATATAGATTGAATTTGGTTTTTTTGAGCGGACCGTAATCGCTTTCGTATCGATTCATGTACGCCAGACAAGTCTCCGTGGTGTAACCCATAACGGCTTGGGAACGAGGTAATTATAGTGTTTTCGTCAAGCACCCACATCCAAAGCTGATCTACCATAACCACTTGAGAAGTTTTGCGGACATTATCGTGGCAATAATTGCAACCATTCTCGTCAGTTTCTTTACTATGGCCGCTCCATTGCCACCTTCCATCGGCCATAGGGTCATTTGAAAAGCCAAGTCGACCCAGGAGGCTCTTCTTTTGCCTAGACTGGCTCACGAATTCGAGTTTATGGCGTGTGTCCCAATTAGCGCTAGTTCCTCGGTATACGACTTGGTCGCGGTCACGGCCCTCAGTGGTTTTAAGATTCGAGTAGTAGTACTGATCCAGGGTCCGTCGTGGATGGAGGGGTGGGTCGCGGTTGAGATACTCCTCAAGCAGGCGCCGGTCTCGATAGGTCGACATTGCCTCGTAAAGTCTTGCGGCGTCCATAAGGTACTGGCCTAACCTGCTCGCAACCTGCAAGCGACTATCGTGATTAATCCCGGAAGGGGTAATACACTTGAAGATGTCTCTCAAATCTCGCACCTGTTGCGTCTGTTCTCCGAGCCCGCCTTTCTGCCGAAACCATTCTAGTAGCAAACTATCTGCATCGGGATGCTCGATCATCTTATCAGGCTTCTTTAGGCCAATTCGTCCCGCCTTACGTATATTTTTCATCTCTATATTCTCTCCCTCTTGTTTCCTTCGCGTTCTTTCCGACCCCACTGCAATTATCTGGGCCATTTTGCTTCGTAAACGGTCGGTCTCCCAATGAAGATACGGCATCTAAAGCAACATTAGCGATCTCCGGGGCACATAGTAGACCTGAAGAAGACGGATAAGCTGACAAATAGGACAATATTCTTTGGGTTGTGCTCAATCTCATCAGTCTCCGAGGAGATACGCTCGCAGAGTGGCCGCATGTGCCTGGCATGAACGACTCCACTGCGAGCGCCCTGCTGTTGACCGCGCCAGAGCTGCGGTCTTAGAAGCATTTGCGTGTGTGTTTTGACTGGAGGGTCGCTGATGCTATTGGAGAGATCCGGTTGCTCTTCGTCGTAATAGCGAGCAATTGCTTTCTCGACCCAATCCATATTGTTTGCTGGGATGTGGAAATATCGAATTCTTGTAGGGTCCTTTCTCTGGCAATTATCTCTCGACAGAATATTATCTGTTAGATGCCTTGCCCCCGTGTTTACGAAACTCTGGCCCTTGTCCGCATTCTCTTGGGCCGTGGCGCGTACGTCGTTCAACCCAAGGAGCAAACTCACATTGATCCGTTGGTTTGGGAATCTCCCGTTGAACCGCGAATCCGTTAGCTCTTCATTAACTGGGTTGAGATGAGAGCGCAGGGTGTTTCCACGATCAGGGATGGGTCCGGAGAAAGAATCGGGGAAGGTAGTCCTTGTAGGGGACTCGGTCCTTTCCCTAAATGCCGGACCTATACCTGTAGGGTCAGTCGTTGTTGACTGCCGCGAAGCATGTGTCCATGGTGTCTCCAGAGTGTACTGTATGAGATAACCATCTACATCTCTCTCCAGATCATAGTCTGCCAGCTCGGTATCAAGCGGGGGCTCCTGGCCATTCTGGACACTCTTGACAATCTGCCTGATCTTTTTCCGTTCCTCCGCAAAATCGAGTTGGTCAGGATCTGGAACTCTGAAAGCTTCATCAACAATGTGGGCTGCGGGGGGGTGTCCTTGCTGCGCAGGAGGTGGTGGGTCGGAAGGATTGGCCTTCCATCTTTGCACTTCGGAAATGCCATACTGGTAAGCATCGTTTCTCCACGCCTCTCTACTATCCTCCACGCATCGTACTAGGTGCCCACAGGTCTCAGCTGGTCGATCGGGGTCGGGTGCGGGGTCCGGGGCTTTCGACAAAGCTTGCCGTAGAATATAAGTACGTCTGTATTGGGCCTCAAGAGCAACGGCAACGCTCTGGATCTTTTTCTGAACACGGTTCTCTGCGTCGTTCTGTACCTCCCTCTCGGCCAGAACAGAGTACTTTGGAAGCGATTTGAGATGACGAAGCTCCTGTATGTACTCGTATTCCCACATGGGATTGGAGCGGTTCAGGTAGTTGACCCGATCGGCAATGTTGATGCATCCAAAGTAATGTCGAAGATGGTCCCGTATCGCTTCAGGGCCATGGGGTAATGCAGACAGACAAGTTACAGGCGCATATTCCCGATCAATTACAGAAGGATTCGATCTGTGCACCATCCAGGCGCCCAGATTCGGCGAACCTTTTGGCTTGAGAGATCGCTTCGAGGGCTGTTCTTTGGGTCGAGGAGCCATTTTGACCGTTGCTTGCCGATGGTTGCTGAATCGAAAGCCCATGGGAAACGGAAAATTTTATTCTTCGGTGCATCGACAAGGGTCTACTGTAGGTCTGCTAGCAACAGGCAAAGCGCCTGCATGGAGCGTACGCCATCGTGCGTTGGCGTGGATATATTGGGGTGAGGAGAGCTGAATCAAATGCCGTCCAATCGCGGGATGGCGTGCCCACGGCAAGTTGGAGTATTGAAGTGGTGCAGCGGCGCAGCATGGTCTCTCGTCAGCGATCGGTCCAGCCATTGACTAATCTGAGTGCGATGGTTGGCGATGAGCGGGGCGGGAGCATAAATTGTGAAGTTGGCAGGGTTGCACTGAGAGACATTGCATGGCAAGGCTCTGAGCCTTCTCAGTCGTTTTGGTCGACCTGGATATTTCGATTGTATGTTCTCGATATTTCGACGGTGTTTAACCGGATTTGCAAGACAGTCGCATGCACCACCACAACGCCCCCCAACCTTCAGCCCCAGGCTTGCAATGCCGTACAATGTAATTCTCATCCAAATTACTCGGGCGTCTGCATTAGCCAACATCAACAAAAATTTCCAGTGATCGAAGTCGCGTTGTGCCCACGTACACCCACACCTTGCCGTCGTATTAAGCCGCGCCACAAACACAATGGCTTATAACGGAAACACCATCGACCTCATTCCGTACAACTCGCCGGTGCCTTCCGGGAAGGGTCCGTACGAGAATAACGTATACGTAGTAAACCTTACGGCCGAGAGCGCCGCAGAAGTCTCCCAACCCCGCGACATCCATGGAGAGAAGCCTCGAATGTAAGTTACCAAGCGCCGTCAGTGAAGCAATTATTACAGAGGCCCGGGCTTGGACTAATAACATACGAGCAGCATCCCACTTCCGACAAAGCCGTCAACCATTAGCCCCCAGGCCAAGGATTCCAAGTCCTAAGAAAAAAGTCAGCCTATCAAATGGAAAAGGAAGGTAGAAAAAGGAATTAGACATATCATACATGTATTCACAGTTCATCCAATTTCACTACCCGAGTTATTCCCCGTGCGGGCAACGCTCATCGGAATGAGAAATAAATAAATAAACTCAACCTACACTCCAAAGCCTATCCAGATTCGGCATGTCTGTCCTGCATCAATTTAATTGTTAAATTCGGATGGCCAGATTTTTTTGGATGTGGAGGGAGGGATGGATGGTGGTAGTTTCTTTATAATTTTTATCCATACGTGCATACTTGAACAATTAGAGAAAAAGAACAAAAGAAAAGGCAAAAAGCTCACTTGCTACCACCCGCTCGAAGTGATGGCCACAGGCTACGAAAACTCCCCAGCTATGCTCAGCTTAATGCGAGGCTCAGGGGGTTTTCCGGGCGATCGAAGAGATGCCCGGACCAGGAGTCGAACCCCCAGCCCGGACAACTACCTTCACACCCCAATACCATTGGGATACGGGGCCCAACCGTATTGGGGCTTCTGGTGCTAGTTTGCGTGCGGGACGTTGATAATAAAGGGCAGCCATTGGTCATTAGTCCCTTCCAAATGTTCCAAAGGAATAAACGGACAGATGGAAATTTCCACAGATTCCTCTCGGTTTTAAAAAAGATTTGTCGTTTGTGTTTTTAGTTTATAAGCAGGGAGCGGGAATGAATGTTAGTTTTAACATTGTGCATGCATTTAAGCTCTGCACGTGGTCGGGTTATAGGAATGAAGCTATTGCCAAATGTGAGCCTGCCTGCAACCATCATCATTGAGTTTAGACATCCAGCATGCGACATCACTTGCCGCAGTTCAGTCCGCAGGGAAACATTAAAAATCTATCTTCTGATTTAACGGCAGTTCCTTGCGCCCCTTCCATTATTTATATCAAATGTTTGGCAGCAACATCAACAATCAAACAAAACTCCCATATAGTGTAGTGGTTTAGCATACCAGGTTTTCAGTACTCTCGCCGAAAATCCCTGGCGACCCGGGTTCGAACCCCGGTGTGGGAAATCCCTTTTGCCTTTTTACTATCAGTAACACGAGAACGGGGCGGATAGATGGTCGTAGTTGCCTTTGTTGTCTCAGAGACGCCTCAGATGGAAGTCACGCAAGACATTTCAGGTTGCTCACCGGTTCCGGCCACAGACTCGACCCCTTCTGACGCTTAAACCGCCCTGAGTTTGACATTCGCCATCTGTGGCTTCCGGAAAACCTTCTCAATCGCCGCCATGCTTGCCAGTTCCTCCGGCAGAGGAAGGAACTCAAAGTTCAACATGATTGTGGCAATGATGATTTTCAACTCCATCATGGCCATTCGTTTGCCTATTAATTATGCGCAAGTTAGCAGGCACGCCCTGTTTATTCCTTTTTAGGTATCCGGTCACACATTGTCACTCACCAAAGCACCCACGATACCCGCCGCCAAAAGTCAAAGTCGGCATCGTGTACGCATCAAACACCTCCTTGCCCTCATCATCCCTGTACAACCATCTTCTCGGTTCGTACTTATCCAAATCGCGTCCGCTCTCCCCCGCAAAGCCGTCCCTCATCTTTTTTGCGTGCGCAGTTCTCGAAGTAGCACTCCTCAAATTCTCGTCGACCGGGAATGGAGGCTTCGTAATCCTCAAGCTCATCAGCACATTCGACCCCTTCGGAATCTTCTGACCCAGCACTTCGGTATCCGTCAAGGCCTGTCGGGTGGTAATCGACGCCGTCCCCACTAGCCTCAAGATCTCTTCAATGGCTGCGTCGAGATAGGGCACATCAGCCTCCAATATCTCCGCCGAAGTTGGCGACTTGTTTCCCGGGAAGGCAGCTTGCAGTGCACGTCGTAGCTCGGCCTGCGCTCCCTGGCAGGCACTAATGTGCTTGACGAACCACATCAGGGTATTAGCCGTCGAGTCGTGCCCCGCAAGCAACAAGAGCCAGAGCTCCTCCAACATGGCCGGGTCGGTAGTCGGGTCCGGGGGAGGCAACCCTTTCCTCTTGGCAGTTTGGATCTCCCGGCGCAGGACAAGATCCATGGCGCAAGTGTCGTGGGCGGATTCTTCGTCACCGTCTTCGGTGGATACCGACATGGCGTGAAACCTCTCACAAGCGGCGCCCATGATCTTTTGAAGCTCAGACTTGCTGTCATTCAAGAACTTCCAGTAGGAAGGCTTCAGACACATCAAGAAGAATGTCAGTCCGCGCCAGAGCGATGCCAACCCTACGTCTACGATGCGGTTCCCTTCTTCCACTGCGTGCCTGACGAGAGCGATGGTGTGCAAAGTTTCCGGATCAACCGGCGCGGATGGGTTTTGCAGTTTCTCCGTTTCGTGCTGGAGGACGCCGATCTTGGTTCCCAGAATGGCCGTCCAGATCGCGTCAAGGGCGGTGTCGTTGAAGTCGTGCTCAACAGAGAATGGCTGTCCTCCGTATTGGGAGAGCTTCACTTGCCATAATTTGACGAGATCTTGAGCGGCGGTGGCTAGGTTGGGTGCCACAACCCGCCGGAGGAACTCCGGGTTCATCACATCGGACCACAGTCGCTTTTGTGCTTTCAAGGCGGGAGTGGTGGTTTGGGCCAAGGTGGTGTGCGGCAGGATCTGCTTGAAGAGCTGGGCTGTGAGAGGAGATCGGTCGAATTCCTTGTTGCGGCGGACCAGGATGTCTTCAACTTCGCGCGGGTCATCGAGAACAAAGGTCGGGGTCCCAAACTTGGTGATGAGGAGCTGGAAGATGGGTGAGCCGATTTTTTGAGCGAGGGCGAAGATGTTCTCGCTCTGTTCTTTGGTGGCCTTTTGGATGGCTTTGAGTGGAGGACCGTCACCGAAGATGCGTTTAGTGGATTCCGGGAAGTGAGGGGTTCCCGGGAGGGGTTTGGGGTACAGGTTCCAAATAATGTAACCTATGTAGACGACGGCCGATGAAGCTACCAGGAGGTAGACGTTGTACGCCATGATGGACAACGATCATTAATGATCTCTCTTGGTGGTTACCTAGCTAAGAGGTGAAAATCTGCATGAGAACGGATAATGACGCCGTATAAATAAGTTTCCTTGGCATCAACGTCGCACTGAGCAAGCGGCTCAGAACCCTGATGCCACATTCCGGTTGGTTAGCTCGCATACCCTCAAATCATAATGCCCGTCCGTTCCAGGGCAGGAAAGGCCCCCTCAGAAGGACTGGGGTATGATTTGCGCGATACCCATTCTGGAGGTGGCTGACCGTTGGTAGGACTGTGGGATGCAGTCAATACCTGCCAAGACCGTAGTTACAGATTATGTGCCATGCATCGCTAGCAGAAATACGCTGGAATCGACCATACGCAGCCCGTCTACGCCGTGCACGCGCAGCCGAGCATCGATACCAGGGCAGCATCGCGCGGGTGCTGGTGGGATCCCAGTAGCTTGGCGCTGACAGGTTTGCGCACCGTCTTACGTACTGCACCTCCAGAACTTTTAGGTCCGGGGTCCTAGTCTAGCGGGCAAGTGCATTGATTTTCTCAACACCATCCTCGACACCATCCTCGAATTCAAAGCTGAGACCGGAGACAGTATGATCTTGAAGATTCTCGCCCACGTTTTGGTTGTCCACAATTACTGCCAGTATATCGAACTTTCTTTAAAATGCGGCCTGTTTGCAATGTCGGAAAGTCCTAGGAGGTTTGGAGTTGAACCGAAGGCGCTAGAGTGCTAGGATCACCTGTTGGTAATAATTTGGCGATTAGAATCACAGCTGAGCCATTCTTTCGGGCTTGGACTCCCGTAGCCTTTGTGACCGCCCCGGTGGTGTGAAAAAATGGGTTTGTCCGCAATAGAGCCCGTGAGGACATGAAGGTCAGGTCGGAACTTCGACGGGCTCGAAATAGGCAGTAGTTACATCACTGCGCATCCGAAACACCGGGCCCGCACTCGGCCTCAGGGGATTGATGTAGCCACCGGTGAATTTCCCCGAGAAATTCATTGCCAGAGGTCTGGAAACCTAGTAGGGCAGCGATCGATCGTGTCCACCGAAACGGATGGAAGGGGATATGCCGACTCCTCCGGGAAGGATGCCTGGATCGGTCCGTCGTGGCCTATGTCCAATGCTTTGATCGAGGTAGGTAAGGCGCAGGTGCTCGGCGGCCTTGGAGTTGGTGACGAAGGCTAGACCGTCAATGGCACTGGAGCCGCCGACCAGCTCCAGTGCCCTGCCACAGGGGAATGGCACTGAAGCAACCTACCAGCTCAATTACCCTACGACAGGGGAACGGCTTTCCCCTTGAGTCCCTTTTGTGGAACAGCCCGGTAGGCCCAGCCAGAATCTGGCGTTCCCACATGAGGACAGAGAGCCAAAATGCTGGTGTGCAAATTCGCGGATCGTTGGCGTTCTCTAAACCATCTTCGAACACAAGAACAGCCTAGATATGTTGGAGACTGTAAGGCCCGAAGTGCCACCGCCAACGATGATGAAGTCGTGTCGTGGGTCCATGGTGAGTGTTGTGAAGTCATTGGAAATTGATATAATTAAGGGGACTGGATATTTCCGAATAATTGGGAACAAGGCGGAGGAAATTGAATTCCTTTAAAAACTAACTAGTAATACCAGCGCATTGTTCTCTGCGGGTTTGATGTGTAGTCCTCTGCAAGCTGCTGTTGGTAGAACTTGTGCGTCCCATGATGAACCAACAGGCATGTTAGCTTTGCACACGGTGCGAACAACCTAACATTGAGAAGCTGCGTGATGAAGAATCTACATGAGGCTTTGGGTGAAGTACCATCTCAACACTACGGCTACGGGGGATCCATCGAAAACATCTTACCCTTCTTGGACATTTCCGGAATATGTCCATTGGAGGAGTGGCATAGCTCCGGCCCGAGGAGTTTATTTCCGCCGTAATAGCTCCAGAAACGTATTGCGTCTAATAAATTTCCAACTGGGTATATACAGTATATAAAACAACCTTGAACTTCATCACATCTGATCTCCACGGTTGTCATCTCATCTACTCTACGTCCTCCATCGTCTGCCAACATTAAGCCGTATGAGTCTTGACCCTGCGGTATCTGATAACCTCGGCACCGTCATGGTCAATAATCCGCTCCGCCACAATTTTGTGTCCACGAACGGCCGGCCAGAACTTGGTCCACAATGCCCAGTAAATACCGCCAAGGATGAGAACACCAACGCCAACAACGGGGAAGACGTAGTATGGGTATCCCTCGGCCCAGAAATCCCCATCCGCCGGAGGGATGAACGGAACAATTGCCAAGAAAGCATTGCAGAGCAGGAAGATGACGGTGACGGGAAGGAATGTGCGCCAGCCAGGATTCCATTCCTCTTTCTTTTGGTACTGCAGGTAAATAAGCCCAGCAGCAACGAAGCTGTTGATCCATGCGCCGGGGTAGGTATACAAGCTGACGATGAAGTTGTATGCAGGTCCGGGGGGAGGCGCGAGCAGCACAATGATTGTCACGATCCAGTGAAGAAAGAGCTAGGATCAAGAAAGTCAGTATCGCCTTTTCAAGACATCATTTACAGTTTCAAGTTTTGGAAGGAGAAGTAAACTTACAGCAGCAGCAGGGGAATTGAACGGCTTATTAGATCCCCACAGCCTGCTCCCGGGCAACAAACCCTCTTTACCCAGCTCCTGGTTCAACCTGGCATGCGCAAAGCTCACAGCAAGCACGTTACCCAGATTGCTCAGCGCCACAAAAGCAGGTAGAGCCCTCGCACCAGCACTGTCGCCAAAAACATTCTTGAAGAACAGACCAGCCACAATAACCTCTGAGGTAGCCAGCTCCGACTTGGGAATAGCAGCGAAGTAAGCCACATTAGCCAGGACGTATAAGATGGTGACGCCACCGACAGCCAAGGGTGCAGCGATGGTAAGAGTCCGCCGGGGATCCTTGATCTCGCTCAAAACGTAATTGGCATTCTCCCAGCCCTTGTAGCTGTAGACGATATTGAGCAGGGCGTTGGAATACGCATAGGCGCCGCCGCCGCTGTATCCTTCTCCGCTCTCAATCCTGAAGGCATTGTCAAA